GTTAGTACAGGAGAGATAGCCAGAGACTGTGGCAGACACACACACGCGAAGAGCGGGAAAACATGTATTATGTTGAAGGAACACTGCAGACACGACTTTCATGAAGCGAGACTCAACGCTACTGTGTGTGAAAGTGAGAACAAAAAAGGGGTGAAAGAGGGAATGGACAAGAGGGTGAAAGCAAGGAGAGATATGGTTGTGCGAAATCGGGGATAAGAGAAATAAGTGGAAGGTGAGAGAGGTGTTGATCTAGGGGATTGCAGATAAATCAGAGAAACGGGTGTGGGAGAGGAGAGAGAAAGGTGCGTGTGACTTTAAATATAAATATAAATGATTGAAGAGAATGTGAAGTGTTTGAGACAAAGGAGAAAAGGGAGAGGAAGAGAAATGGACAGAGATGAGAGACAATAGTTCAAGGGAAAATGAGACAACAAAGGACAAAGAACACTATACAAAGGTCAGTTGCTGTTAACAAAACTACTCTCCGCCTTCATGACTGTGGGTATAGAGCTGGCCTAGCTGGACAACTGCACGCATAGGACAGAAAATGTGTGGTAGAGATTATGGTGTGAGGCGTCAACGAGTATACACAAAGAAGGGGAAAAGGAAACTGGAGAAGATAGACGAATTTGGAACAGAAGGAACAAAGCAGAAAAGGGAAGGTTATAACTTTCTGGAAAATTTATTTGAAGTGAGAGATGGAGGTACGAACACTTAGCATGTGTGAGGGTGGGGAAAGAAACAATTTTAATTGAAGATAAAAAATAAGTGACGGAGGAAGATAAGAACAGGACAAGGAGAAAGAAGGAAATGAGAAAAAATAAGTGGAATAAGAGGAAGAAGAAGAGGAGGAGAAGGAAAATGAAAAAGATCAGGACAAGAAAAAAGTAAAGCAGAATGAATAGGACGTCGTAGGACAAATTTAAAAGGGAACAAGGAGGAGTAGTGACGAGAAGAAAGAGGAATAGGTAAGGTACAGAGAGAGAGAGAGAGAGAGGAAGGGGAGGGAGGGAGGGAATATATACATGTGTGGACGGAGGGGAGAGAAGGAGCCAGGTGTACACAGGGTGTAAACAACAAGGTTAGACAGGGATCAGCCCGGCAAGTACCCACATTAGACACACCATACATGAACACAAGTAAGAAAGAAGTCTTTGGAAAACGAACTCCTTCGTTTTTCTTTACAACTTGTTACTTGAAACGAGCCCCTTAACTTAACTTCTCTCTCGATCGTCAGAGAAAACGACCTCCATCACAGTTTCCCTAGAACTCGCCAGAAAGAAGGCTATTTCTTTATCACTCCAGAGAAAGCGAGTTCGCTCACTTTTCCTCCCCCTCCCCAGAGAAAACGAGTTCCCTCGCATTTCCTTCCCCAGAGAAAACGAGTTCGCTCGCTTTTTCTTCCCCAGAGAAAACGAGTTCCCCTCGCATTTCCTTCCCCAGAGAAAACGAGTTCCCCTCGCATTTCCTTCCCCAGAGAAAACGAGTTCGCTCGTTTTTCCTTCCCCAGAGAAAACGAGTTCGCTCGCTTTTCCTTCCCCAGAGAAAACGAGTTCGCTCGCTTTTCCTTCCCCAGAGAAAACGAGTTCGCTCGTTTTTCCTTCCCCAGAGAAAACGAGTTCGCTCGCTTTTCCTTCCCCAGAGAAAACGAGTTCGCTCGCTTTTCCTTCCCCAGAGAAAACGAGTTCGCTCGCTTTTCCTTCCCCAGAGAAAACGAGTTCGCTCGCTTTTCCTTCCCCAGAGAAAACGAGTTCGCTCGCTTTTCCTTCCCCAGAGAAAAAGAGTTCTCTTGCCTTTCCTCGCCCTCCCCAGAGAAAACGGAGCATCTCGAGTCTGGCCAACAACAGGACGTAGCGTGAGGAACCCGAGGCGACGAGCCCCGCTCCAATCAGACCACGAATTGAATTTTCCACGACTAATTTCCAGATTCTCGTTCCTTCCTGATTATAGTACGCCCGACGAGGATGGCATTGCCGTGGCCATATTGATTAGCCCTAGCCCGTTTGTTGAGCCCGCAGGCGGATGTATAAAGTAATTTGTGGATTTTTATTTCGCTTGATGAGGCGTCGGTGTTATCAGGAAGGCGGCAATGCGGATGATGCCGGCAGATTGGTCGCTGAAAGTGAGATCGTCACTGAACTTAAAGGCGCAATTCCTTAACTGTAGCCTCTGTTTAACTCAACAGTAAAATGTGTACTTGGTTGTAACAACGATTCTTCGCGGCGGGGATCGTATTCCAGGGACCTGCCCGAAACGCTACGCGTACTAGTCGCTGTACAAGAATGTAACAACTCTTGTATATATCAAAAAAAAAAAAAAGATTATTGACGCTGGATGTTAGTAAAGTGAGTGTACTATAGACTGAATCTCGGTCGCTGGATGTGTTAGGGTTAATGTAGACTGGATCTCGGTCGCTGGAAGTAAGTTAGGGTGAGTGTAGATTGAATCATGATCGCTGGAAATGAATTATGATATACACAACCATTTATGAATAAAGCATTTTACTTGATTGATGTGTTAAGTATAGAGAAAGTATTGAGGCTTACTCAGTACACAGCTTCAAAAGTTTATATAATAAGAAGAAAAGGTGTCAAAGCATCTTTATCAAACTACCGATATATATATATATATATATAAAAACTGCAAGATAAAGCTCGACATAGGAATCATTCCTAGGTGTGTTTTGTTACATAAGCTCTAAATCATTGCGGTGGCGCCAATATTACCAAGAATTCCATCAGTTTCCCTTACTTCATAGTGCACGCAAGAATATTCAACTACACACGCCGGAAGGTGGTGTTTCATGTCCCACACCCTGGGAGGTGCTGGTATATGTCCCACACCCTGGGAGGTGCTGGTTATGTCCCACACCCTGGGAGGTGCTGGTATATGTCCCACACCCTGGGAGGTGCTGGTATATGTCCCACACCCTGGGAGGTGCTGCTATATGTCCCACACCCTGGGAGGTGCTGGTATATGTCCCACACCCTGGGAGGTCCTGGTATATGTCCCACACCCTGGGAGATGCTGCTATATGTCCCACACCCTGGGAGGTGCTGGTATATGTCCCACACCCTGGGAGGTGCTGCTATATGTCCCACACCCTGGGAGGTGCTGGTATATGTCCCACACCCTGGGAGATGCTGCTATATGTTCCACACCCTGGGAGGTGTTGGTATATGTCCCACACCCTGGGAGGTGCTGCTATATGTCCCACACCCTGGGAGATGCTGCTATATGTCCCACACCCTGGGAGGTGCTGCTATATGTCCCACACCCTGGGAGGTGCTGGTATATGCCCCACACCCTGGGAGGTGCTGCTATATGTCCCACACCCTGGGAGGTGCTGGTATATGTCCCACACCCTGGGAGGTGCTGGTATATGTCCCACACCCTGGGAGGTGCTGGTATATGTCCCACACCCTGGGAGGTGCTGGTATATGTCCCACACCCTGGGAGGTGCTGGTATATGTCCCACACCCTGGGAGGTGCTGGTATATGTCCCACACCCTGGGAGGTGCTGGTATATGTCCCACACCCTGGGAGGTGCTGCTATATGTCCCACACCCTGGGAGGTGCTGGTATATGTCCCACACCCTGGGAGGTGCTGGTATATGTCCCACACCCTGGGAGGTGCTGCTATATGTCCCACACCCTGGGAGGTGCTGCTATATGTCCCACACCCTGGGAGGTGCTGCTATATGTCCCACACCCTGGGAGATGCTGCTATATGTCCTACACCCCTGGGAGATGCTGCTATATGTCCCACACCCTGAGAGGTGCTGCTATATGTCCCACACCCTGGGAGATGCTGCTATATGTCCCACACCCTGGGAGGTGCTGGTATATGTCCCACACCCTGGGAGGTGCTGGTATATGTCCCACACCCTGGGAGGTGCTGGTATATGTCCCACACCCTGGGAGATGAAGATAATGTCCAAGCCGTTCATTATGCTCCAGCCGAATATAGACCAACACGAACACATTCGGACAGTGACACAGGCGCCGGTGGCTGTGTGGATAGCACGCTGGACACGTGATCCGGTTCGATACCCGGCGCCGGCGAGAAACGATGGGCAGAGTTTCTTTCACACTGATGCTCCTGTTACCTAGCAGTAAATAGGTACCTAGGAGTTAGTCAGCTGTCACGGGCTGCTTCCTGGGTGTGTGTGTGTGTGTGTGTGTGTGTGTGTGTGTGTGTGTGTGTGTGTGTGTGTGTGTGTGTGTGTGTGTGTGTGTGTGTGTGTGTGTGTAAAAAATAGTGTTAGTAACAGTTGAGAGGCGGGCCGAAAGAGCAGGGCTCAACCCTCGCAAGCACAACTAGGTGAATATACAAATGGAATGCATTAGGCAGTGATGTGGTGGAGGCTGACTCCATACACAGTTTCAAGTGTAGATATGATACAGCCCAATAGGCTCAGGAACCTGTACACCTGTTGATTGACGGTTGAGAGGCGGGACCAAAGAGCCAGAGCTCAACCCCCGCAAGCACAACTAGGTGAGTACAACTAGGTGAATACACACGGACAGTGACACAGGTGGATGTGGAGCAGAAGGACAGGTGGATGTAAGCCCAGAAAAACACAAACACTGGAAGTAAACAAAGACATACAGAAGGAGCAGTACTTCCCAACAGTTCCAGAACTTAGTTGTAACTTCTCCTGAATAAGAACAATAGCTTCCTGTTCTATCAAGTTAGGCGCACCACAACTCTTGCTTTACCACCAGGATTTTTCTGGGGCCCTCAGCTTCTCTGTTGCGTTCCTATCTTCCTCTTTGTCCTCTGCTCTCAGTCTCATTCAAGAGTAACACTTATATTCTGTGTTTACTATAACCTGCAATATTAAATGTGATTCTTGTACTGTGATTTGTGGATTTGTACTCACTGGATTTGTGCGTCCCTTGAGGGACTTGAAATAAAGGTAGAAATAGCCTAAACTACTCTATCCCTTTGTGGTGTATTTTATTGTTTCAATAAACGTACTTGAACTGTTTCATTT